CGCAGAGCTGCTGGCTCTTTAAGAAATCTCGTGTGCTAAATTTATCTCTCCGCTGTCTGTGAAGACTGTTTGTAGGAGATGAAGCCTTGAGGAGAGCCTTTGCCACTGCCTGCCGTGCTATAAATAGATCCGAAGAGACGGAGGGAATTTATATATATCCTCACTGGGTCTAGATACAACATTGCAACTGCCCTCTCTCCGAGCAGGGGGCCCGAGTGAGCTCTTAACCCTTTATCTGAAATGCGGCTGGGGTGGAGGAGAAAGCTCGGAGGGGGAGAAGGATAACAGGACAGGAGCCACGTAAAAATTATCCCCGTGGCTTTGGGATTGCATGCATTGCTTTTACAGCCTCCCGGTTTGGCTTCTCTGGGAAGGCTGCTGGAAACTCAATGTCTCTTCCGCCCTAGTCCTCTTGGACCAGGGTGGCTGGGCACCGGAGACCACAGTGGAGGAGCAGATCCAAAGCACACCTGGGGGGAGCTGCACCTTGCCAGGAAAGCCCAAAGTGGCAGATGCAGAGCCTGCCCTGGCCAGGCACTGAGACCAAAGAGTCACGAACGGGTATGACTCACCCGCTATGCTGCACACGGCATATACTGTATATATTATACTGCACCCGTGGGAAATAGCAGTTACAAATGCGTTCTCCTGTTTTCCCTAAAGTGTGAGATGCAAAAATGTATTAAGTGAAAATTTTCCACCCCATTTGTGGGACCCTGTGGGCTAAAACCTTTCCACAGTGTCCATCCCAAAATTGCAGCCTGGCTGGCTAACTTGGCCGCACAAAGGACGTTCAGGGGAAGACTCTTCTTGTTCGAGAGGGACCCTCCTGCCTCTCGATAGGATTTGCTTATCACCTGCAGTGCTGGTTGGAAATGCAGAGCACGGCACAGTGAGCTATGGCTACCAAGCTCTATGCGCCAAATCCTGCTCACACTAACAGCCAGCATAAATCCAGAGCCACTCCAATGGTTTTTGCAAGATCACACCAATTTGTGTGAGCAGAGATTTACATCAGGGCAGAATTTAGCCCTGTTGATTCAAAAAGAAGAGCACCTCAGGACAGGTAGGACAAAAAGGAGAAAAACAAGATTAAGAGGGCACCCGTCCTCAAAAGTCAGAGAATTTCTCTTTCCTTCTGCTTAAAGGGCAGGTGTATCCACACCATACAGCTCAGCGTCCTCCAGAGATACCTCAGTTGGCTGCAGGTCCCAAACTTCTGGTCATCTGCCTGTATAACGCTGCTCACACGGGTGAGAATCAGGACCATGCAGGGTGAAGGTTTTGTTCTGTTTTCGGAGCAGAGGTAGCACAGCTGCACATGGCTGTCCTGCTTGACAGGAGCGTTTCAGCTGCGGTGCTGCACCCACTGTGAGGTGCACCTGGCAAGCCAAGGGACACTGGCACCGTGGGACCACCCATATGTGGGGCTCCTGCAGCATGAAAAGATGCCAGGGTCAGCTGGCCTGGGGCACTGTGTTAGCTCAGGTCCTGCCTCTGGGCTTCCTAAACCCTGATAAACCAGCTCTACTTGGGATAAAGCAAGTGGCATCCCAGAGAACAAGGGAGTGTTTAACTCTTTAGAGTTCAGATCTGGAAAAGCATTCTGGAGACCAGCTTCCCTTTGCCATACGCTGCTTGAAGTCCATGGGTGACCCACAGCATCACAACCCTGTCATTACTTTACACAGCACCTGTCACTGTTGCTGAAATATTTGCCTGTGGCCTCTGTGACCGACTCAACATCCACTTGCTCCTGGAGAGGCCAACAAGAGATTTCTCTAGCTCCTTTGGTGGCTTGTACCATGAGCAGATGGGACTCATAAAGGGATGAGTGGCTCCACTCACCTCTTGCAGCCAAAGGGAAGTGGTAGCAAAACTCAGGCACCCAGGCGACCTTGTGGGTCACAGCACATGCCATCACTAGTCCAGAAGACCACAGGACCAACCTCTGCTTCATGCTTTGATAGGTATAAACGTATTACCTTGATATGCTCTCAGCTGTTGTGTGAAGAGACGTGTTTGCTTGACACATAAAAGACAGCATGGGGAGGACATGGACAGATGGGGAGGCTTGACACCGAGGAGCTCCTGGGTGTCTCAGTAGGGCTGATAGGCAATAAAGGCGGAAGGAAAGTAAGAGGTGGAAAAACAAGGAGAGGATTGAAGAGTGATGACGGCATGAGCACTGATGGGCGGGAGTGGCGATGAGAGACAGGAGAGCAGATAGTGTAGGACAGGAGCCCAACAGGGTAAGGGAGCTGAGGAGAGGGATCAGGGGAAGCAAGGGGTAAAGCACCCCGGGGAAGGAGAGCTGGAGAAAAACAAGAGGTTAAAAGACAGAGAGCAGAGGTGAAGTGGATACTCACTCTGTGAGAAAGGAGATGAGGAGACAGAGAACAAACCATTGCCCTGTAAACAGCTCTAGACGGAGTGTGCTGCCTCCGGGAGATGCCATCAAAGTGAAAGGGAGCGGGGAGCGCGGGGGCCGGAGGGAACGCTGAGGAAGGATGCCACCTTCCCCGTGGCGTTAGCGAGAGTCGCTGGCGCCTGGCCAAGCTGTGTCTTATCCCTTCCCCCTTCTCTTCTCCCGCTTCTCTACCAACCTCCCTCCTCTTTTAAATTCAAAAATTTGTGTGGTATGAAATTTTATCTGCTTTGACGGCGATTCGCAGAGACACTGCCCGTCGGAGGGGAGAGGCTTGCCTGCGCGCTGCACCGTGCGCTCCACGAAGCAGTCCCGCTCCCTCCAGCCACTGCGCCTGGCCACCGCTCCCCACTCCATCCCCAGTTCCCCTTTCCTCCTCCAATCTTTGCCCACCCCATGGGCCCCCCAGTCAGCTCCCTCTCATGTCACAACCTTTACCCCTTCTTCCCCACAAAAAAAAGCATTCATTCTCTTGGCCCTAATCATTTCTCCTGACATCTGTAGGCAGTCATACTATGGAGCAGCCAAGTCCTCACTGCCCTGCTACTCCACTGCACAGCTGGCAGGTGGACACAGTTCATCTAGGGGAAGACAGAGCTGTGGAGAAACCACTGTATATGGTTTGTATATATAAAAAAAAAAAAAGGAAAAAAGGGACAGGCATTCATGAGATGTTGAGCTGGTCTGGCAGGCTGTGGGCTGATGGAGATCCCCCTTCTCTGCCAGCACCCAGTGGATCCAAGCATAAGCCAAAGTAGCATGGATACCTCGCTCTGGAGAGCATTCCTCAACCCCAGGGGAGGTAGATACCATCTCTAGAAAAGCAGCCGTGAAGCTCTAAGACACACAAGATGAGTTCGAGGTCTCTATTTGTTGCAATGAGGAAAGCTCTGCCCACCTGAAGTTTGCATTAACAAAGCAGATGCTGGCACAGGAAGGGCAATGCAGCCTCAACCTGCCGTGCCCCTGCTGCTGCCTGCTCTGCAGGCTGAGCCCGGCAGCAGCAGAGGGCTGTCCCACCAGAGCTGCAGCTCAGAAGGGAATGCTCAAGTTTCTGCAAACCATCAGTCCTCCACAAATATTTCAGTTCTCTCACATGAACACCATCAGCCATTTCATTCCCTCTCTGATCCTCCCCACTGCTGTTTACTTATTAATGG